AATATTTAAATGAAACATTTACAAATACTTTTTTTTTTTTTTATCAAACAAATAAAGCTGCAATATACACCCTTTCACAAAAAGCTTCTAGAAATTAATTACATTATGAATAAAAGTATTCTTCAAATTAAAAATTAAACAAATGAGACCAAAAATGTATAAAGTAAAAAAAAAAAAAAAAACCATCATAGTTTATGAATGAAAATCAATCTCTGGATTTTATTTTTTATTTTTCCGTTTTTTTTTTTTTTTTTATTATTTTTTTTTTCTAAGTCAGTGAATCGTGGTTGAGTTAATTTTAATAGTGATAATCCAAAGATTGGCAAAATATTAATACGCAGCAAAAAATTTAACATTATACAGCTTATATTTTATGATCTACAAAAATTTAATAACACTTATTATTATCTCTTAACTACAACATTATGTAATTTTTGAATTCAGCATAAATCCTACATTACAAATATGCTCGAGAATAAGGAATAATATGCTCAAGACGAGTGAAAATTTCACTTAATACATATATTATGACTTATTGACCAGGATAAGAGTAAATGATAACACATGCGCAGTAGTAGTAATTACCATATCGATTGATGCTCAAAATCACGACATATTTTTCTTCCTTGAGCCGTTTCCGGATCCACAACGGTTCGTCTTCCTATCATAGCATTATCACGGATTAGATTATCAACTTGTCCACGATAACGAATGTTAGATGTTCCGTAAGACTGCTGCTGTTGCTGTTGCTGCTGCTGCTGCTGCTGCAAAAAAAAAAAAAGAAAATTCATGTAATTCTTAATTCATATAATTAATCTTCGAAAAATACATTCAAGAATTTATTTCCCAAAAATAATTATAATACATATTTGAGAGAAAGAAAAGATAAGAAGAAAATTTACTGTTAATTGATAAATATAATAAAAATTTCTCGATTTCTCGATAGCACTAACAAAGAATAGTGAAAAATTATCTCACAAACCTGTTTATTTGCATTTTCAATTTCTGCTTTTGCTGATTTTGCACATGATTTATTGGTGGATGTAGAGGAATTGCATAATTTGTTATTGTCAAAAAATGGTGGATAAACAACAAAATTGGTAACTTGCCATATTGGTTCATTTAAATGATAATGCTTATTCATAAATTGTAACAATGATTGAGATGGCTTATCAATTGCAACATTTTCTGCCGATGAATTTTCCTGCTACAAAACAGAAAAATAAAAAATAAAAATAAAAAGAAACACATTTAACATAAAAAATAAATATTGCTAGCAAATTGTATGAAGCTTACTTCATAAAAAATTGATAGATGTAGCTATTAAGATTTGATATTGATAGAGAAAATGAATGAATTTATGATGCTAATAAAATATTAATCTTACTTTCAACATATAATCAAATAGAGCATGTCCATATCCTTGTCGTTGAAGAGTATCATGAACATAAAAATCAAGCACACATAATGGTGATACTTGAAAAGTTTGCATAGATTCATCCGTTAGGTACAAATTTTTATAACCAATTTTTAACAAACCTATTATTACACTTGCATTCCTGCAAATAAAAAATAAATAAATAAATGAACAGTAATATAATAAATGAAAGTATATTAATTCATAATTGTAAGCTTTTTTTTTTTGTTTTTTGCTTTTTTTTTTTTCTTTGTTAAAATTTTTTGCAAAAAAAATCGTTCAATGAATTTAATTTATTAATTTTAATTAAAACTTAAATGTTAAGTGATAAAAAAAAAAAAAAAAAACAATAATTACAAATGTGATAACCATTTCTTTTGCATGTAATCATTCTATATAGATATAATATACAAAAAAAAAAAAAGTTTTAAGTAAAATATATAAAGAAAACACTTACTTATTATTTGGATTTTTTCTCCACAACAAATAAAGCACTTGACCATCGTCTGAATTGATTATCTTATCATAGGTGGTAAGAACACGTTTTAATCCTTGTGCCTAAAACATATCATGAATAAATCAGATAACTATTTAGCAATAATTAAAATTGATAATTTTTCAATTCACAGATCAATCTGTGAATTATTATAAAATTTTTAAAAAAAAATATAAATGATAGTTTATTACTGCTAGTAATTCTTATCACTTCTTTGATAAAAAAAAAATATATATATATGCATATTATTCATTACACTTATATAATTATCAAAGTTTAGTATAACCATAATAATAATAATAATAATAGTAATAGCAGTAATAATAACAATAATAATGATAATAATAACAGTAATGAAAATAATAATAAAATAATAATAATAACAATAATAATAATTAATAATAGTAATAATAATATAATAATAATGATAATAATAACAATAATAATAATAACTAATAATAATAATGATAATGATAATAATAATAATATAATAAATAATGGTAATAATTAATAATAATAATAAACAAAAACAATAAAAATAAATCATACAGCTATAGAAAGTGCTCCCATATTATTGATTGTTTTTTCAACAATCCAACATTTTCGTGGATTAAGTTGTCTGAGCATCACATCATTTAACCTTTGTATCGGCATATCAGGAAAATAAACACTCAAATCAGCTGGTACATTCATTATCTGATAATAAATTAATCATTTTTTACACTATATTATATCAATTAATAAACAAATAATATTCGCTAAAAAAAAAAAAAAACACACACACACACTCACACAAACATTCTAAACTACATCACAATAAGTTAAAACATTGAGATATATATATAGAAAAGAAGAAAAAAAGAAAAAGAAATAATATTGATTGGAAGATAAATAATTACTTCTGCCAGTTTGATAAAAAATATTTTAAAATGATATTATCACTAAATAACTAGATATGTTATAGAAAATTTTGCTAATCAAAAAATAATACGTTAATTATGTAATACTAAAGTAATACATAAATACAATTAAATTGTAGAAAAAATAGCAATAATATAATAACAATAATTTTTGAATTATTTGTAAATTTATTATTTGAAATGTTAGTAAAATGTTGTAAACAATAATAAGATTATCCTAATATTCATATTTTCAAAATATGAATATTATCATAATTAATATCAACATTATACTTCCCAGAAGTTCAAAATTCTCTACGTTGAAAAGTCAACGTGAAAAGTATACAAACTTAGATGTAATAAAGCAAAAAAAAAAAAAAAAAAAAAAAAAAAAAAAAAAAAACTTAAACTTTGGATTTAAATATATAAAGTTTTTTACGCTAATTATTAAATACAATTAAATAAACCAAACCAACATTAACTAGTATCAATTTTCAATCAATACAAAGTCTGAAAAAAAAAAAGCATTAAAACAAAAAAATCAATCAATCAAAATAAAACAATCAAAAAATTTCATTTCCCTGAAAAAAATATCGAGAATTACTAAAAGGAAAACAAAAACAAAAAACAAAGAAAAAAAACAAAAAGGGAAGGAAAGAAGAGAAAATGTTACAATGCATAAAGTTATTATTTAAAATTATCAAATAACAATTTGTAAAACCACAAACAGTAAATAAAAATACGATTGCTCATAGTTACAAATACAAATAATTATTTTCCAGCTTTTGTACTATCATTAATTTTCTCATATGAAAATAGGGAGAGAGAGAGAGAAAGAAATCCCTTCCAAGTATGAATTAAAGCATTAATGCATAATAATTTTCAATCTTATCTTATTACTTAGCATATATGAACTTATTTTAATTCAATTAATTTAGTGAAAGAAATTGACAAATTACTTTGACTAACACATTTACAAATTTCAGAAATATATCTCATGAGAAAATGTTATAATGTTCAGTTTAATTTACATTTTCTCAATGAATGAATTCTTTTCAATAAGTTTTTCGAAAAAAAAAAAAAGGAAAACATAACCATATAGAATCAATAAATAATTTCAACAAGTAAAACAAATAAAGCTAAAAAAGTTTTTTTTTTTTTTTTTTTCCAAAATAAAATAGAATATATAAAGTCATATAAAAAAAGCTTCTTCTTTGAAAAATAGCACATACATCTAAAATTGATTTTAGCATTCATTGAAAAATGTTTATAACCAACCAAAAAAAAAAAAAAAAGAGAAAGAAAAGCTAAAATAGAAAATGTAACGGACATTTTCGCCTTTTTTTTTTTTTTTTTTTCTTTTAGGGAACAGTGATAAATTTTTAAAAAGGCATTAAATATTAATATGAAATTTATGTCACTGGAAGCATTTATCGTAGTAATGTTAAACTATTTAGTGGTTAATAATTTTAACAAATAATCTTATTGATCTAACAATATCACTCAAATCAATCGTATACTCTCTGGTATTTTTATACTTATTCCCATATAAGGGATTATATATTGTAATCTAGTATTCAGAGAAAAACATTTAAATTTATATTATAGATCTATTTGATGGTTAAAGAAAAAAGAAAAAAAAAACAAACAAACAAACAAACATTTTTATAAATAATAAACAGAATTGAGCAGTAGGATTAAATTTGGGAAAAAAATTGACATTCATCGAAACATTTATGCATGAAAAACTAGCACAACAATTCATATTTTATATTCTTTACGAAATTCTATTTCCTAACAATATCACACTCAAGATCAGTTTGCATACGCTAGTATTTTCATACTTATTTCCATCAGATTGAAGGAATAATTTTTTAGCTAAAAATCTGGAACGGATTGAAACTAATGATACTTCATGTAAGCAAAACTTCATAAATAATATTTATTATTCAACAGTGTTATCTAGTAATATTCAATTTAAAGCTTGAAAAGGTAGTATTGTCGAGATAAAGAGAATGCAAGCAGTATGAAATACATAACAAATACCACGGAATAAATATAGTGCAAAGCAGAAGCTAGCGTTACTTTTCGATCTAATTTTATAAATATGCGTCATCTGATGAAAATAGTATTTTTTAAAGGATAGCACGTCTATGCAAGCACAGATATTAACTAACAAAAATATATTTTATGATTGTAGTCTCTTGTGACAACTTTGCTGAAGTAAAGTTGCTCCTGCTCTCGAATCAACTGCTTCACGCATTCGTTCAAACCATGCTTTAATTTGAGTTTTATCACAAAGTTCATTAAATGTTGCACTACCCAGAAATGAATTCATTGCTCCATAGAGTGCCTGAAAATCAAGAAATTATTTGGAAAAGACCTTTTTTTTTTTTTTTTTTTCAGTTTTTTTTTGCAGTAAAAATGCAAATAAAAAGAATGAAAGATTTAAAGTTACCTTAAAGTAGCATTCATGATTTTTTTTTTTTTTTTTTCATTTTAGATGTTCAGACAAAAAAAAAAGAAGGAAGAAACTATCACTTCTACTTTACTAATCTTGGTAGATCATATTTTTTACTAATATGTTAGATAATATTTTTCCGTCTAAACTGAGTATGTAAGCATAACCTTTTGATACATGAATAAGACATATTTAAAAGGGACTCGCTTATTTGGGTATGAAATATAAAATTTAGATATGAAATATTTGAAAGAGTTTAAAAATAGAGTAAGAAAAATATAGAGCAAGATAGACCAAATCAGCCAAAGTAGGCTGTTGACCACCAAGAAACGATGAATTTCCCACAGCATTCATCCACTGATTGCAAGCATCTATTAAAAGTTGACGAACATCAGCATCATCATATCTAAAAATATCTTTCTAATTATAATTACAGTTAGATTATGTTAAACAGTAATTACTACAGTTAAAAGAATAAATTATTCTCATTTTCTTTCCATCATCTTTTTTTTTTTCTTTTTTGAGGAAACAAAAAAGAAAAAACAATCCAACTTACTTTTTGCGAAGTTTTTTCGACAAAAAATACATGGCTACTGAACCAAGATAAATGGTAGCATAACGTTCCCATGCAGGTACCACTTTATCCCACTGTCCTGCTTCACCAAACCAACGAAATGTTTCAATACATTCATTCCATGAACGATACACATTCGGTACTATCAAAGGAATGAAATGATCATCAACCCATTTACGCCATTCCTCTTCTTTCCTTCACAAAAGTTTAAATTAAAAAATCGAAAAAATATAACACCGGAATAATCTTAGTTGCAAGTAACCAGAAAAAAAAAAAAAAAAACAAACACAAAGCTTCTTATCGATTGCCTTTCATTTGCACAACTAATCTACAAAAATGTTCATGAATGTAAAAATAACCTCGCATTTTCCTGTTCCATTTTTGACATGCTATTCAAAGATGTCATAATTTTATACATATTGGGACGTGTGACTATCTCTTTTCCCGTTTCCTTTATAACATTCGTTTGTTCTGGATAAAATTCAATTACATCATCCAAACTTCGATCACTTCGTGTCATATAACTTGTCAAAATTGATATTATCAGCGAAGAATCACTCAATTTTCGATCCATTTGAGCAATTACAGTTGGTAGCTAAAGAAAAAGAAACAAAAAAAAAAAAAAAATCTCATTTATACTAATTATTTCATTATTAATTAGTAATACAGGGAAAGAAATATAATCAGCATTACATTATACTTTTTAAAAGTACAAACCTTGCTAACACCATCCAACTTTTTGATTTCTTTTCGAGTTAATGGACTAACTTCAACCACATCATACGAAAAACCATAATAATTCAAGAAAGCACGAACTTTGCAACAAAATGGACATGCTTCATATTGATAAAGTCTTAACTTCAAATCAGTATGATCATAATCACTCACAATCTACAATAAAAACATTTACAATAATAGTTATTTGTTGAATTTTAATTACAAAAATAAACTTTTTATTCAATTAATAATCCATATTTAACTTTTTCATTTTTTTTTTTTTTTTTTCACCAATATTGTTACTATTTTCTAACCCGTTTAGCAATTAGTGCTCCATCAGTAGGATGCTTTAAAGGTCCTTCCACTTGCCACTTGCTCATATTTGAATGTTTCAATGATTTGATTATACCAGTATTTTCATCATAACCAGCAAATCCTGCTAATGCAGCAGCAGCAGCAGCAGCAGTTGTTAACACTCCACCACCACTACCATATCGTATTAATTTCCTGATTACATTTCGATTCCACATAATTATAGCTATAAATAAACAAAAAGTCTTATAAATTAATGTGCAATAAGCAAGATATAAGACTCATTTGAAGATTAATTTCAAACCTTTGCTATCATTCATTATTCCCACATTTTAATTTAATTCCCCAAATTATCCATTTTTTGCTAATTTCCTTGCCTCTTATACTGTCCCTTTTTTCTTACATTAATTCATTTCAGCATTACATAGCTGAACATCATCACCCTGTTAGCAATTATTCAATTTGTTCATTTCATTCTTCCCAAAACTATTTATATTATTATTATTTCCACTTCCTACAAAGCCAAAAAAAAAAAAAAAAAAGAGTAACGTGAAACTAACATACTTAACGACAAATAATATCATATATTCGATACCGCTATGAAAAATCTTTATAAATTATGCCTATCTAATATTACAATATAAAACTCAATAAAAATTTATTATTATTATTATTATTATTATATAGAATTGTGCTCAAATCTTTAGCAATCTATAGAATAACTCAATAGTGATCTGTAAAATAGGAGATAAAAAATTGAACTAAACAATCCAAAAAACCAATTAAATGATAAAAAAGACAAATGGAAATCAACTTAAAGCCAATCAATGAACCTCTAATTGAAATCTAATCTAATTTTGTGCTAAATAATTTCATAGATGAGAAAAGTGCATGAATAATATAATTTACTTCTATTCCCATAACATAATATATATTGTTTGTTTTAATATGAAAATAATATGATAGAGCATTATCTGAATGCTCTGCATACTGTATAAACACAATGCTACACAAACAATCATTCCTGATGCATTTTATCAACAATATTTCAACGTTATATGCATACATATACGAAAAAGATACATATCTGAAGAGAATATAAAGAAAATATTCAGAAGATTTGTCTATATTTAGCAATTCTAAATTTTACTTCAATTAAACCAATAATCAATAAGGTCACATAAAATCATTCTCCTTCCATCTATTACATATTCAATTCAATTTAGTTCTATTATCATCTGTCCGCTTAGTAGTTATGATTATGTTATATTTCTTGGCAAAGAAGATAAATTTCATGCCCCATATGTTATAATAATAAGAGGATATCATCATAGAGTTACAATTTCCAATGTTTTACAACAAAAAAAAAAAAAAAAAAACATATTTGTGTTCAACAATATACAAAAAATTACAAAAAATAAACCTTGTATACAAGCTACAGTATATAGAGCCGTTCAAAAGTAAGAGCGTCCAAACAACTCTGAGAGAGAACGCCTGGTAAAAAAAAAAAAAAAAAAAAAACAAAAATGATTATCGCTGGAGAAAATTGGAAACAAAATGTGAAATTCATTCGAGAGATACTTTTTTTATATTAACACTCTGTTCTCTTCATTAAAATAGATAAAATATCAGTACTAATAGGCCAAAGTAAGATCCAATTTTCTTTCCATAAAATTTGCTGAGACATGAGAGGAAAAATTTGACCCTTCACAAGTAGCCATTGATTAAAAAAATCCCATCTTTCAGTCAATCGGTCAGTTGAAAAATACAGAATGCACAATCTAACAATGCAAGAAACGAGATAAAAAAGAGAGAATAACGAAAATAATAACATGGCTACTGAAAAAAGATAAAGTGTAAAAAAGAAACTTAAACGAGGTACGAAAGGAAAAATTACAAGAAATTATTGTCAACCAAGAAAAAAAAAAAAAACAAAAAATTTACAAATTCAAATACAAAATCCTACAATCATAATAAAAATAAATAATAATATTAATATAATAATAATGATAATAATAATAATAGTAACAATAACGAAACCGGTATCATTTGTGCAATATATTATACTGACAATAAAAAGAAACAAAAACAATTTAAAGGGTTGTTATATAAAGTGGTTTAAACTAGAAAAAAAAAAAAAAAAAAAAAAAAACAATTATTTCTTTTGAAATGACTAAAATTTTCAACGGCCACATTAAACGGTATGGTAAAATTCACTACAGAATAAACTTTGATTATACAGTTTTATCTCTTCCATTAATAACGCTGAACCAATACAGCTGTTCAATAATATAATTGAAATAATGAATTCGTAATAGTAGTTGTTATAATAATTAATAGTAATAATATAATTATAATGATAATAGTAATAATAATAATAATAATAATAATAATAACGATAATAATAATCGTAACTATCGAAAATAATTGGAAAAATAATAGAAATAAGAACTCACCACATTTCAAGCAAAATCGAACAACTATTTCTTGACGAAAAGAATATTACTAGCCCTACCAACAAAGTAAATATTTCTCTTAGTGGTGACAGTGTAACCGCATAGCAAAGAAACGTTTTCACTAAAAAGTTACGATTACCAGCTACCAAACTGTTTCATTTTATCTACCGATAGGTAGGGCCACCAAAGATTAAAAATATGTTAGTTTTATCTCTACAGTGCAACAATGATTTCGGTAACAAAAATGGAAAGAAAAGAAAAAGCACATTAACTTCAAGGTTTAACAAAATATACAGCAACCCATCTTTTTTTAATGGATTACAAACAAAATCAGACCAACGGCATAATACACGGTGCGTCGAAATATTTTCATAAAACGATTCCGAGATTGACTTAATCAATCATTTTTATCCAAAATTTTCCATTTTTTTTCTATTCCAATCGAGTTAGATCATCATAATGTAGCAATCAATATTTGTCATAATCATTTAAATTATTGGTATCGAATTCATTGATGAATAATCCGGTTGCATTATTGGCAGTCCACCATTTTGCTTTTGAAAATATTTTTCCAGTTTAGCTGTAGTAAAAATTTGATTAAAAAATGCTTATAAACTCCAATGACAAGAAATATATATGGTCAAAAGGCAACAAACTCACTAATAATATGCTTCCCATAATTGTATTTTCGCAGTGCAGGAATATGCGGTTTAATAGCTAGCATCATCTTTTTCCGGAGAGCGCTATCAGCTACATCCAACATCTTTTGCACAACATAATTAGCAAATTGGTCTTTCATCATCATCAAAAGTGGTGTAGCAATACTGAAAACATTCGAGCGCTCTCAAAAGTGTCAGATATTCATAAAATAGCTAAGTAATCGTTTGATGACAGTAACCAAAGTTACTTTATTACTCAAAAAGTTACAGCTCCACTTTATAGTGGATCTAAATCAAAATCTTCAGCATACAAATAATATACTATATAACATATATCATTAAGCATTTTCAATCATAAACTCAAATTACCATCTGATCAACAGATCTTGAGCGAAGTACAAACAACCAGTGGGAAGCAGAGTTAATAATATGACTTCAACTATTTTTACTGCATATTTCAATCAGGATATAAGTTGAGCGAATACTACATAACAGAAACTAAAAGCTATTACAATCTTACTTAAACAGAATCTTCTGCGACAGCTATTAAAATATGAAAAAAAGAACACTAACTCGTTTGGGTTGCCACAAACTTCAGTAATCAAGGCATTCTTATGGTGTGGTTCACCGCACGTTAAACATTTCTCGATTACATTTGATGCAAATTTGTGCTGTGCGAAACGAAGGACATCACCCTGAAAAAGTGCAATAAATCAGCTGTTTGCGTGAATTTTTCATCCCATCAAGAAAATCACATTTCAGTAGTTCCCATAAGCATTGTCTAACAACTAAGTCACTCACTCTATTCCGTAGTGTTATCACCCCTGTTCTTACATGCAAAAAAAGCATTTCCAAATGAAGAACATCTGGGACACTAAGTTGAAAATAAGACCACGGATATGGAATATACTTATGAAATACCTAAATTTCCTATGACTAGATTCATTGAATTACAAGCATGACTTGGTTTAAGTAAAATGTTCTTTAAACCTACAACAAATATTAACTACCAACCTTAACTTGGTTGACGATACGATCGCGGTCCTCCAAAGAGCCGTGCTCAATAACATGCTGGATGACATAGTTGCCATACTGATCCACAATTAAACTTTTGACATGCTTGTGAAGCTGGTCTAACACAGGCCGTTTTTGATCGTCTGTACAATGCTCTAGTACACGCTGAATCACTCTGCAGCCATATGGATGCGTTGATAAATTGCATACCTATAACAGCGCCACTACCAATTCCGAAAGTAATTGTAATTTACTATCGAAAATTCGATTTCAAAGAAGTTGAAACTATAAAAGAATCTATAAAAGAATCAAATACGAAAAACGAAAATCAAGATGAGCCTTCAATTGCACATACCGTCATGTTGTCACCTGCAGGAACCAAAGCATCAATAATAAATTGTAATCGTGAAGCATCAACGCGTTCAATAACTTTTTGTACTACATGATTTCCATTTTGGTCCTTGACACATTTCAACACCTGACATTTAAATTACTTTCACGAAATGTCAATCTCCAAAAACTTTTTTGCCACCCTGTGCACTCTACTATGGCAAACATAATGTAGAAATTCTGCTAAGGGCAAGATCATACTACTTTAAAATATGCATCCAAATTTTTCAAAAACATAATAATAACACAAATCTAATCACCTGTCCTTCCATTTCCTTTAAAATCTCCATCTGTTGTTCCGGTTCAATACTTTCCAAAGCTTTTTGAATGACACGACATCCATACATTTGCAATGCCAGTGACATAACATTGCCCTGAAAATGACCCACATATGATGTGTATATGATAAAGAAAGTAATTAGTATTTCCTACAGTATGCTCAATATCTTTGCGATCAATATGTGCGAAAAAATCTTTCTTACACCACCAATGATTACTTCATACAGATATCACACATTTCTACAACTTATTAATCAGTAGATGTTTAACAGGTACCTTTACGGCATTTGTGAGAATATTCTTTTGCTCGTTAGTCCCATACTCAAAGAATTTTTGTATTACATAATTTCCAAAAACATCGGTCATCAAAGATTGCGCATGTAACGCTACTTCATCAAATACTGCCTGCTTTTCCTTCAGTGAAGCACGCTCCAATTTTTGCTGTATGAACCTGAAGACAATAAATTAGAATACACGACAATCTGGAAGGATATGTGAATACAAACAGATCACTAGTTCCAGATGTAAATTATAGCGATAAAAGAACTACTAAGCAGTTTTACCTTGAACCATGCTGGTCTTGTGCAAATTCCACAACATGTTTGCCAAGATCGATTAGTTGCAAATGAGGATTACGATTATTGCGAAAATCATCTAACAGATGTGACCTGGTCTGTCTTTCGCCATCAGCCGAAACATATCCTGAAGCAAAAAGAGTCATTAACAAAGACCACTTCATTAGTCGTTCAGAGCATCCATGTTTTTAAATGAATAAATATAGTGAACATCATACATCACCCGAAGATTTCGATTCATAGAATCTTTAATGACCAGAGAGTTACCAGAGTAAAAATTTATTAAAAGGAACCCCACCCACGCCTTATACATTTAATCATGAATATCTGCTACGTGCTTTACTCTTCAAATTTTGCATAAAAAAGTTTGCCTGAATAAATAAGAGTATGCATGCTAATCAAAACCTTCCCGTGTAACTGCCAAATCCACATTAATTTTCCTGTCTATTTAACTTTTATATTATCATATAAAAGTCATATGCTATAGTACCCTGCAAAATAGGTTAGATCAATGAAGAAAAAAAAATGTCATAAATAATGAATGAACAGTTCCGACCTCGACCTGAAACTGATGAAATGTTTCTTCGATTGTTATGAACAGCGACGTTGTAGGGCATTTGCGCAATGGTATTTTGTTGAGGAGCGTAAGTAGAACGAGGAGCAGGAGGTGCTGGAATATGAGCACCAGATGACGAACCTGGAAACATCGATGGAGGATTGTACGTCGTTGAAAATGCATTACCTGCAAAGAGAATGTTAACCTTCTTCTAGATATTTTTCTGTATTCTGAATTAAATCGCATATTTTCGTCTTGCTGACGAAAAACTATCTACATAATGCTCTCCAATAACCAGAGAATTTTTTTGAAACTGCGCACATTTGGAAATCTTCGATTATATTTAGCAAAAAATACCTTTAGTTGCTAATAGTAAAAATTATTTTTAGGGCTTATTTAATTCAATACATCCTGCAAGTGGACAGCAAAAAATAATTCAACTTTTGTGACCGCAAACTATAATTACTGGCACAAAAGAAAACTTGGTCAAATGATTCACTAATGAGAAAAAAATATGAAAAGATGGAAGCAAAAAGGACAAACCGAAGAAGTTGGGACTTGAACCCAACGAACCAGCTGAAGGTGTTTGAGGAAAATTCATGAAAAGATACTGTTGCTGCGGTTGCACCCCGTAGGATGGTGCACCAACTTGTCCATTTGAAGTGAATGATTCATTTCGAGTTGTTGGAGTTGACTGAGGTGGACCGATCGACAGATTTGACAGACTAGTAGTCAAATGACTGATTGCAGGTTGCGTTGTATAACCTAGAGGGAAGTGAAACGCACCAGGTGGTGAAGACGAAAAAAGAGCTGAGGTAGGCGGTGTACCGCGAGCTCCTAAAAATAAAGCAGTTTTGAATATTTGGATTTAAACCAAATAAAGAAAGCTCTTAAAGCATTTCATACAATGCATATTACAGTACCACTCTTTGAGCAATCTTTGAGTGTTTCAAAAATAAAATACACAGCAGAAGCTAACCTCCGATATTTCCATTTATTGCAAGTGCTGGTTCCGATGCAGGTGGAAGATTTGACGCTGCTCCACTATTATACACGGCAGTAAACGAGCCATAACCATATCCAGTTGGAGTTGTTCCAAACGGTGCTGCTGTCTGTACGCTTCCCGGATAAATGATCGAATTTTGTTGTCCTTGTAGCATATAGGGATACTGAAATTGGCATATTCATGATCATTTAAAATAAGACTTCGTACTTTTTCTTTTACTTTTTTTTTTTTTATTTTTTGAAGCCAACAATACAAACGACTGAAGTTACACAATATTGTTTTTTGATGTCCGTAAGAATTACAGTTGATGAACGAAATTTATTACACAAATGAAGATCTATGATCGAAATTAAATGCTACAATACGAAAACCACATATCTGTAGGATTAAAGAAGAGAAAGGAAATGGTTTTGTAATATTAATTTGAACGACTGATTGTGAGATGCCCAGGAGAAATAAAATGGGTAACACATAGTACAAATGAAATACAACTGTAATAAGAAAAAGTACATCCTTACAAGATAAGTCAATCAGACATGAATAATAACTCGTCAGTGCACCCATCCTTCGAGGAATAAAAATATAGAGATGGTCCATGGAGCACTTTGCAAAAGCCTCGGAATGCATTGGAAATTGAAAGCAGAACAGCAAACTGTTAAATGGCAAATAGCCAAAACCGATATTAGAAATAGACAGAAAAAAAAAAAAAAAAAAATGGCAGGATGTTGCTAACCATTGGAAACCATGAAAAGAGCATTTCCAAAAAAAGACGGTGATTCTCAGTGACTATATGTTGTTGGTTCGTAGCGGCTTACTACAATCAGTCCTACCAACGCTTACAGCTATTACACCAGAGCGGAATGAAAGAGCATAAAAAAGTTGAAGAGAGGAAAGAAAAAATAAAGAAAACTTTTCTCGTTCTGATGCCTATTATAGCAGAACTGTCACATATAGGCAGTATCATACCAACAGAGCAATCAAATCACAGCAAAACATCCTAAAACAAGTGAAAACGATGCCTCCTTCCCTCTCCTCGTTCTTTCTACGCAAATTCTCATCTCTTAAATACACTTTACAAATACGCAAAAAAAACAGTGATGCATATTTCAAGATACAAATTATCGATTGTACAAGAACCGGCACCTATTTCAGCAACCAGTTCATCGCCTAGCCCGTCACTCATTTTACTACCCAAATTTATTAGTTTCTGCTATCAAACGTGCATCCTCTTGTCACCCTTGTATACAAGCCAAAACACTATGTCTTTACTGATCAATCTGTTGTTTGATCCTCTAAACTTCTATTTTCATCTTTAATTTTCTAATTCATTTCATGGTCCATCAACAGTCAGCCATCTTTTCAGAACACATAGTTATATCAAAAGGCTTGAAATATTGAAACCTCCCCTTTTCCCTCTCCAAAAACACTAAGTTAGTCACTTTCACAAGTATTGCACAAAAGTTTAACAAAAAATTATAAGAGAGCAGTTAAAGCTAAATAATTCATTAATTTCTTAAAGTTCTTCCAACAAAATTACTCGATGAGAAAATTTTGGACTTGTGAAAGGGTTAGTAACAAAGACACTACATTTTCGGATCAAAAAACTCCCAAATCTATTCCAATATGCCTTGTTCCTACGGTGAGTGAAGATATTACTTCATTTTCTTGGAAATATCATAAATACAGCAATATATTGAACCTTAAACCAGTTAAGTCGTTAAGGGTCAATAGCAAGTACTTTAATATGAAAATACTTCCGATGAAAATTATGCAATCTCCAGAAATTTTCAAGTGCTTTGCTCCACTCTTTCTTTCCATCTAAGCGTTCTAGGCAAATATATAAAATCGTCACTAATTTTAATACCTGACCCCACTACAGACGACACTAATGAGATGCAGTATCAGCAATGAATGACTAACAGTTAATGGGAAGCACTTTACAAATACTTAAATGCACTTCACAAAATTTCATTTCTAAATAACTACCTACATGCAACATTTTTACCGTTCTGCCACAATTACAGGCTGATGGAAACAGATAATGAATTTATGAACTTGGAAGCACATTGGTAATAGTGAGAGAAAGAACTGTGTAGACAATGTCATAAGCTCTTTTCATTATAAAATTTAAAAGCACAAAAAACATTTCAGAAACTCATAGACTAACCTGAATTTCCGGTGTAGAACCCAAAGTAAGAGAATCTGCTTGCAGTTGATAGGGTATATGCACAAATGGTGTCGACGTGTTCGATCCCAACGTATCATTCGTCGACTTAACTGGTTTATCGTCATTTCTGTCAATCGTTTTCCCATCTTCTAGTTTCACAGCATTTACCTGCAAATATATATCCAAGTATTTCAATGTTACAAATACGTTTGCAGTTCTGTAAAACGAAAATTCGTCTTTTATCTCACGGTATTTCGAGTATCTTCCACTTGCCAAAGCTATTTGAAAATTCCTTTCCCTTTGTCAGTGCCATATAAGTACAGAACAGACGAGGACATACGACATGTGCAAACTTTCATTTTCTTTAAGAAATGCCTTTTAAAGCTTTCTATTATTTCAGATCACGCTCATACAAAGCACTACTACCACCTTTTGTTCATAAGGGTTAAACCAGGAATATTAAAAAAATTACTGTTTCCCAGGCGGAAATCATTTTTTAGTAATTTCTTATATCATCAAAGTTGGAGTGGATGAGATAAAAAAAAAAAAAAAAAACTTATGCAGAGCGTAATGCGCCTTGAAAGTTTGGAAAGAGAGGAGAATAAAATACGGAGCAAATGATCCATATTTCTTACAATATATAGACAGTGCCGAGAAACTAAATCTGACGAATAATAGCACATTACAAAAGATTCTTCATAAGGCCTATATTCATGGGTAGTTAAATAGTAGAAGTGTAGTTATGCTGAGAATGATTGGCATGTCTGAGCCAAATTCTTTTACCTAGGGGTCACATGTTCATCTGGGTACGCGGTTGTGATAAAGTAGTTTGGTTCCTATTCATTTAGGCGCCTCATGAACATATAACACGCACTTTCGGCAATGAAAAACAAAATACACTGAATAAATGATGGATCAAGTGTGTTTAATTCTTCCCAACGATTTGTCATGTTCCAGTGATAAAGATGATTTAGAATATATAGATAAGCGAATTTTGTACGCGAAGGCGAACACTCCGGTACCCATTCATAGAAAAATTTGTTGAAATAAATTTAACGAAAACAACACTTTCAAATTTTCAGCTATAAATAACTCACGAATTTTGTATCAGCATTCAAACTTCCCGTGGATGAACCCAATACATTAGCGATCATCTGTGTGCAAAGTGAATTCTCTCGAGATCTTATAGATCCAGCAATACCAACATTAGTATTACCTTGCACCATAATCGGATTGCTAACAGCATGCTCTGCAAAAAATGCAATAGCAATACATCACACTAAGTTTTCCCTAGAAATTATAGCATCATAGTGTAATGGGCTTAAATTAAGTATGTCCCCCAGTTGCACTCTTAATATGAACAAATCCCCCCCCAAAAAAAAGACTACGAAACAAAAGAAAATTCATCAAATATTGAAGTTTACCAAAAAACTAACCTGATCGCATGCTACTCCACGAACTTGGATAGTGATTTGACCATTGTTGCTCAGCCATTGCCATAATGCTATCCTATTCTGGATATCGTACGGTACGGAAAATAGACAACAATTGAAAATAGTAGAAATACAACGCGCAACGCAGATATAATACAGTTTTGTACAAGACCTGTAATCAAACAGCTAACTTGCGCTAACCGGAAAAAAAAAAAAACGCAGAGCGAAAATCAATCATGATAAAATAGCTGGTTGTGTTATCGTATAATAAGTGCTTGCAGCTTGACATATAAGTATATGCTGCTATTTTCAGTGATCTCTCAGAATCAAAAAAAAAAAAAATTCGAATCAGAAATTTCTGAAAACGTGCTATCTACACAACAGGTTATAAAATCAGACAATGTTGATAATGTCACTAATGACATGGTATCGATTATATGTACATAACAACCACATAAAATACCACCATCAGAGTGACTACACTCGATAAATTTGTAACTTCTTTTAATAAAACAACGTGTATTCATCAAGTGTCAGTGTAGAAATAGAAATCTACATCACTTCCCTTTTGCCAACATTTTCTCTTTCTCGCATTACTGACGACATGTTAACAAGTTTACAAACACGATTTAATGTCAGTTAGCAGGTGATTACCCCCATCCTATCTCTCCAATGCAAACCTATCCCAAGCAGAGCAACAGGAACTGGAATATTGAGAAAGTGCAAATAGGAGAAAACAACAACTTAATATTTATTACATATGAAATTCAATAACTCTCGTCACGATATCTTTCATCTTGATCATTACCTTTAAAAATCTTCCAACACACCTGCATCATCTTGATTACTCATCAATTATCAACGCGTAATGTGCTAAATATACGAGTAAAGAGTGAGATCAACTAAAGGAAGAGAGAGAGAGAGAGACGGAGACAGAGAGGATAGATTGAAACGAAATTATATTCCCCTCAAAAATACCAAATAATCGAGAAGACGAAAGAGAAACATATATACATGCACACACACACACACACATACACACATACACATACACATACACATACACATACACATACACATACACATACACATACACATACACATACACATACACACACACACACACACACACACACACACACACACACACACACACACACACACACACACACACACACACACACACACACACACACACACACACCACACACACACACACACACACACACACACACACACACCACACACAACACACACACACACACACACACACACACATACACATACACATACACACACACACACACACACACACACACACACACACACACACACACACACACACACACACACACACACACACACACACACACACACACACACACACACACACACACACACACACACCACATACACAGACCAAACTATGACAGAATAGCGAGAAGTTCGTACAGTCTGTAGCAGTTGGATATACGCCAAAAAGGAAAAAACCGGAGAGAGACCAAAAATCAAGTTGTAATAGTGGTTAGGTTGCAAAAAGCACTTATGGCATGATTTGAAGGTTAAAATTATATTACGTTTAACCAAAAATTGGTTAACAAAAAAAAAAAAAAAAAAAAAAAAAAAAAAACTATAAATATTAGAACAGATTATGAACAAAAAAAAAAAATATGTTAAACTAATTTATGATTAATCTAGCACACTTATATACATGAGAAACAGATAATCTGAGACTTTCTCAAAATTTACTAATGACTGTAGTCTTTTATCATCGAAACACCAATACAAAGATAAATTAGTTAGGTAAAATGAGTTAAAACATTTGAAATCATTAGTAATCTGATCTTTTTTGATAATTACACGAGATAAAGTTAGTCTTTATCAACCTCTACAGAAACCATTCTCCAATAAGAAAAAAGCCTAATAATTAAAGTAACACTTATTAAATACTTGAAAAGAAAAAAAAAAGTTATGATATAAAACAAACACACTAATAGTTTGATTCCATTTCAATCAACATATATCATATTCGATACATTTATTTATTTTATAACTATTATACTCCCCAGAACAATTTTCCTAAAAAAATTTTAGCTAGAAAATCAAAATTTATTACTTATTCTAAAATATTTGAGCAATTATACAATACAAGATAAACAATATTACATTCTAAATATTCTGAATTAAATAATACCAAATAGATATCCTTAAACATGCTAGAGTTCCACATGCTAGAATAAATTTAAATAAAGCATAACCATTCAAATATCACCAAAAAAAAAAAAAAAAAAAAGTATGGTGATTTAAGTAGACAAATTTTGAAAAAAAAAAAAGAAAAAAAAGGTATGACATATATTAGTAGTTAAATTTGAAATGTAGCAATAATAACAATAACAGTAACAATATTTACCAAATTCTTTGAAACTTTGAAAGAAAATTAGTTTTTCTTAAAAAAAAAAGAAAAAAAAAAATATAACACTACGTATTTCAATTTATCCAATATGTATTAAAATCATAAAGTTAACATGATGAAATTTTCAATTTCTTCATTATATTAAAATCGTAAAGCTGACATGAAGTTTTGTTGAAGTTGTATAGAATGAATGAATGATTTTCATTTCATACAGCTCCGTTAATATAAAGCAAACAGAAAGTAAGAAAAAAAAAACAAAAACAAAACAAAAAAAAAAAAAAAAAAAAAGAAAAAAGGGCGAAAATTTTTCAATAATAATTGTATCATTTAAACGAACATTGTTTCAATCTTTCCTTCTATCAACCATACCTTTTGCTAAGAAATAATAATATAACAAATGCGGGATATAACAACAGAGAATGATATTGTACAGAGGTAGATCAATCTATCAAAACACACTGCAGACCATAACGGATTAGCAGTACATTTCCCGAGAAATGATACTATTTTCCAACAATATTTCAGCAGGAAAGAAACCCAGACGAATTTCAATCGATTTAACCAATCATTACAACATAAATAGGCAGACAGATGGACATACACACATACACGCACACACAGACACTAAGATACAACACACACATACATACATACATACATGCATACATATGCAGGCTACAATTAGAAACACGAATGAATGCAAGCATGTACATATGCAATCCACATATGTCAGGATAAACTGTCAAGGTTGGATATTTAGAATTTGGAATTTTAGCATGCTGCGATTTATTTATTTCTCTGCTAATTATCTAAATTCATCAACAGATTGGCGGAAGATTAAAAAAAAAAAAAAAAAAAAATGTTATGTTAATTGCTATTCAAAAGATATGTTCAATTAGGAAAATGAGTTATTTCCTAATAATTTGATAATAGCTTATATCAGTCATAAAATTTACTAATTAATCCATCAACTGGATAACACTAAATTTGAGACGCAATTAATCATATTGACATCTGCCGGATAGAAACGATTTTGAAATATTATATGAATTTGTTAGAAATGATCAAAAAACGCTCTCGAATACGGAGGGAAAGAAAAAAGAGGAGAGAGAGAAAGAGAGAGAGAGAGAGAGAGAGAGGGACTCAACCGTCAACCATCCTATCCTATCAATAACAGCTGCTTCTACTACTACTACGACTACTCTATTACTGCTATTACTTACTACTACTACTACGATCACCAATACTGCTACTACTACTGCTATTGCTGTTGTTATGAAGGAAAGAGAAAAGAATTGAAATGAGTAAGTCTTGAGTATGACAAGACATATCTCGAGAACGCAGATGGCAAATGCCCAAGTTGGAAAAAAAAAAGATGAAAAAAAGGAAGACAGAAAAAAAAAAGCAGAGAAAGAGAAAAAAAGACAAGCTGTGAAATTTCTTGGCAACAATCTACTATCCCTTCATATAACACATATATAATGTGATACGCTCATTTCCACTACAATCCCTCCCATCTTGCGCGCCATCTGACAACACTGCCCACCCACCCACCCGCCTACCTACCCAGGCTTCAGGGTAGAATCGATAGACGATGACTCAATGAATAAAGTAAATAGTGGAATAAGCAGACAGTCAAACAACACCTCTTCCCCTCCATCTCTAGATGCCACACTAAAGTATGACGTGACAAGATAATATCTTGGACTTCATAGTTACGAAAGTTTTGTGGTACTTGCTTTCTTTTTAGGACTAATATTACCGATAATCGTTTCTAAACCTTTACCATCTTTTGCAGCATTCTAACATCATATCATAATATGCCACAATGTGTATAGCACGAGAATTATACGATGATGGATTGATTTTACATTATTGTATGTTATTTGATGAACTATATATCGTTAGCACAAGAGAAGCATAGAGAAGATAAACATACTAAAAAAAAAAAATTTCTAACCTTTTCATAATTAATCATAAACTAAAAGAATTTAAATAAGATATGATTAATCGCTGCAGATTAGTAATTAATGAAACAACTACATCTAATAATTATGTGTGCAATAAACACTAACATTAACCAAATTAATCAATGATTAACTGTTAAGAATGCACTAAACAAACTGAATATTTAATTAATACATACAGTAACAATCAATTAATGAGACAAACTTCTCTTACTATTACTATTAACTAATTACATTTCTAGTTTTGGCTATCATATACGTTTTATTACTAGTACAGTGATTCATATATCAACACAGGCATATTGTACTTAACACTAGCATATCCATGTTCTACGTAACACTATTTCATGTGCGCAAACACATTCAACACATCACGCATTTACGCATTCACTTATCACACAGTTATGCATCACGTTCCACGTATCACATACTTACACTCCCTCATGTGCAATTCACGTTCAATACACCACGCACTCACGCGCACATCCATGTTACACGCATTACACAACCATGCACCACATCCTACGTGTCACCGATACACTCACGCACCACGCACGTACGCACGTGGCTCAGTAGCTCACCAATCTCAGCTCCCATGGTGATCGCAACTTCCAAGACTGAAAAAAAATCTGGCGAGATGCCCATGCCAGGATGCATGTTTAGACCAAATTTGCATTTGGTCGCGCT